GCAGTATTTATATTAGTAAAACTGTTCTGTTTCAAACATTTTTCTCTAGTTCATTATTTCTTGTTTGACTTTGCTTATGTGTATACATAATATTTTCAATCATGCAGGTTTTTTTTTTTTTTTTTTTACTTTTATGAGGTCAAATTTTTCATTTTTCTTTTTTGGCTTGTAGCCTAGCAGGGTTCATCAGCCGTGTACCAGTATGCTGTTATAGGAAATCTGAGTACATGCGCATACTCAGTAGGTACAGTAAATAAGACACCAGTTTTCATCACCGGTAGTTTCTCTCAGTTCTGACCTGTGTTGGGCCAAGCTGGACTGCCCTACAGCTGTGACCATAGATGCTTCCCACTCAGACTGCCTTTAGGATAACTCTTGCCCATATCTCCTGTCTTCCTTTCTCTTGCTTCATTTAGCCATCTCAGCACCTTTTCTCCACTATAAGTGAGGCACTCTTGGCACCCATCTTAAGGTGTGGCAGAAAAGCTGCTCAAGACTATGCTGCTAGAGCAGATGGCCTACCAGAATCAAACTGTCCCTGGAGATATGAACTTGACCCCGAGCCAGGTTTTTGCTCCCTAGATGCCTTGTATACATTCACGTCACAGATACACATTCTCTCTTTTTGTTTTCCTCTTGGTTGCTTGATAAGTGCAGTCTTCTCCCCAGCCACTTTTCAAGACTATAGTATTTGCAGAGGGTCTGGAGATTCTTATCCACTGTTGGAAAACCTATGGCACAAGTGCCACAGCTGGCTGTGTGTTACAATTGCAAGCTCTAAAAGGTTCGCCATCACTGCTATAGCCTGAAGTAAGCTATGGCACGTTGATGAATGCAAAAGTACATTCCGGAAGCATCTTATTTTTCATTTGTGTGGTCTGATCCACTGGTGATATCTTTTTCCATTATTTTAAAGTAATTTTTCCCCAGAGTAAAGCCATTATGAAAATGAATATAGGGACCAGGGATTTAGCTCAGTGGCATAGCACCTGCTTGGCAAACATGAGGTCTTGAGTTCAACTCTTGGTAACCTCCCCTAAATGAATATAGATGATTGTCCTACCCAGTAAGACACTGAAAACTCAGTTTCTCTAAAGCTAACATGTTGGGTATGCTATATGAGCATCAGGCAGTTTATTTTGGTGATCTTTTTGCTGTTGTCCACTGGGCAGTGTAAGAGCCAGTGGGAGTTAGTCACTGATATTAAAGAACATTCTGCACAGAGAAATCCCTCACATTCATTTCAATACATTCTTTTTTTTTTTTTTTTTTTCGGAACTGGGGATTGAACTCAGGCCCTTGCACTTGCCAGGGAAGCGCTTATTCCACTGAGCCATCTCCCCAGCCCCTTCAATACATTCTTTACAGATAGTCCTTAGAATTTATTTTGTTAACAATACTTCATCAATTTGTATTGGGACCTTGATTTTCTCTTTATTTTCTTTTTTTGCGCCGAATGCCTTCAAGGCATTACTGGCTGTCTTGTGTTGTGGGGATCGAACCACAGCAACCTGAGCCTGACTGCTTTGTTGAAGCAGCCACTTAAAGAACTGAGCTAAGAGGCAGGCCCCCTTGATTTTCTCTTAAAAGATTGTTTTGTTTCATTTTTGTTCTCTTTAAAAAAAGAATAGTTTCAAATTTAATAAACTTTAAAAGCCAGAAGTGTTGAGATTTAGATTTTTAGTAATCAAATTTATAAAACTTTTCCTAAAATAATAAATATGAAAATTTAACTTTACCTTTAAATCACAGAATTATCACCTAGAATTCATATTACTTTTACAGAAAAAGACACTATGGACGTATGGTGCAATGGTAAAAAAATGGAGACAGCGGTATGTTGATCTTCAGTTATTCTTAATGTCATGTGTGTAAGTTACCATTGAAATGTTAATTCAAAGCTTTATAATTAACCAAGGTCTTCTGGGTAGAAACCAAAAAAAAAAAATATTCCTGACTCCAAATTTTAAAAACCTTGCCCTGACAGTTCCTGAGGCTGTGACAGTTTGGATACCACTTGTGCTCTGAGCTGGCCCCAGACTTTTCCTTTTCTTTCCTGGCTTGGACTCTTATCCTAAAGAGTTTACATTGAAGAATTTCTTCCTGGAAGCTTGGCATCCTTTATGTTTATCTATATGAACATATGAAATAATGCTTTATACCACTTGTTCTCAAATTTGCATGGACAGACATTAGCTGGGATCTTGTTAAAATGTAAATACAATGTTTACCTCAATGTTGTCAATGTTTTTGGCCCACAGATTATACTTAGAGTATGGAGGCCCTGCATATTCCCAAAACAGATAAACTTTTCTAAAAGCCAGGTTTTGAAAGAAGGAAGGAAGGATACAACACAACATTAGGTATTATGAAAAGTAGACAAGAGAAAGGGCGCTGTCATAAACCCCAGAGGACAAGCCGTCTTGTGCCCCTTTGCAGTAGCTGCAGTCACCATGAACAGCCTGGTACCTGCGGTGTGCCTTGTACCACACATTGTGCTCCTCCCTCTTTCCTACTCTGGAATTCTGAATGGAGAATCAGACTTTTGAATCACATTTCTTCACTTAAAGGAATTTTCCAGTATAAATGTAAAGAGAATGTTATTTTATGGTGTGAAGAATGTGGTTCTAGGACTAGGGAGGTAGCTTAATGGTAAAATGTTAGTCTAGCATGCACAAAACTCTAGGTTCAATCCAGAGGGAGAAACTCTGGGTTCTCTGGAAGGAAAAAAAAAAAAAAGGACATGGTTTGATGGTAAAGAAATCATCATTTTGCCTCCAAAATAATCATCATCCCCAACATCTGTGTTCCTCAGTAACTGACAGGAAACCACAGTGCTTGGAAAATAGCTCTCTGTAACCCAGTCGTCCCTCATTGTAACTGCAATCTAGGTGCACAGCACATTGGGCAGCTCAGTGTTCAGGCAGCTTTCCTTCTCCATTGTTACAGCTGTGCACTGCACTGCTCCTGCTGCTGGAGAGTTGCGCTTATTTTGTCCTTTTTCTTTTCATCTGAACATATCAGGACCAAAATTATGAGTTTGGTAAATTGCCAAACAGGGACAGTATTATTCCACCCCGGCCCTGCCCTCCAGAACCTTTTCTTCAAAACCTAGTATAAAAGAGGGGAAACATGCTGCACTGAAGAAAATGTGCGTGGTGGTGCTGCAGTGTGGCACACCAGAAGAGCCATGGGCCAGCACTTCTCTGAGCTAGCAAAAAGCTGCTCTCTCTATGTTTCCTATGCTTTCGACAGATAATGTTAATTAAGGAGCCTTGCTCGTCTGCTTTGGACATCGTGATACTCATAGTCAAGTTTTAAGTCTGGTTGTAGGGTTGCTCTCTGGCACAATTCATCTTTTATCCTCTAAGCCTCACCTGCCTGCACTTTGCACCTACCTTTTTACTCTAGACCAATGTTTTTCAGTAGAAATATAACAGAATCTACAAGTATAAGCCTCATGTATAATATTTTTCCATTAGTCACAGTGGGAAAAAAAGGACCTGCAAGATAGCTCAGCAGACTGAAGCACCTGCTTAGGCAAGCACAGGGACCACATGCTGTGCCACCCTTACCCCCAGGGCAGGCTGAGCCGGACACACAGTCCAGTGTAGTGGTGCACACCTGTAATCCCAGCACTGGGGAGACTGAAAACAGAAGGATCACTGTGAGTCTGAGCTACATAGTGAGACTCAGTAACCAAATATATATATTTTTTAAAGTGAAGTGAATTAATTTAAATGATATACTTGATTTAAATGAATATACATAAGCATCATTTAATATATAATCAACAGGTTGATATTTTAATTTTTCATACTGAATCTTTCAAATCCAGTCTATATTTTAAGCAGCATCTTTCATTTCAGACTAGCTACATTGGTATCTGATTTTATGTTTGTGTATTTTACTATAAATCACCTTATACTCTGAGAAATCCAATTTTCATTGGCTAAGAATACTTCATCCCATATAGACTGGGCATTTAGCAAATTATTTAATAACCATCCTGTTCCTCAATGTCCACATCTATAAATGGGGTAATAGTAGCACAGTATTTCTGTGGGGTCAATGTAAGGGTGCAGTGAAATTATGCATATACAGTGTTCTTAGTGTAAGTAACTGAATGTTGTTTCATGTTCATTTTTACTTTTGAAAACACAGTCTGTATGTTACAGCCATATAGTCTTGTACATTCCCTGTCCCCAAAAACTTAAGATTCTTAAAGATTGTAAGGATTATAAAAAGAAACATTTCATAACTTAGAAATGTTAAATCACTTAATACAAGCTTTAAGTCTTTAATGTTATAAACTTGCTATTTCACTTAATATAGATGTTATACCACCAGTGCTCTCCCCCACCCCGTACAGTACTAGGGCCTTGCCTCTCTTAAGCAAGTCTTCTGCTACCGAGATATAACTGTTAGCCCTGCCACTACTTTTGGATGGTGTTAATGCTGTAGGCAAAGAGAAGTATTTCTGGGACACTAATCCTGTCTTTTTTTGTTGTCTTAGGGTGAGTTTGTAGATGATGGGACTGAAACACATTTCAGCGTTGGGAACCATGACTGTTATATAAAGGCCGTCAGTAGTGGGAAGCGGAAAGAAGGGATTATTCATACTCTCATTGTGGACAACAGAGAAATCCCTGAGATTCTTAAATGACTTCATGTTAATGAATTTTCATCTTAAGAAATAAAGACCAGAATTTTTTAATTACTGTGGTAATTAAATGTTCCAACATGTACTTATCAGTACATTTAATCTACAATATTTTTATTTTTTAATTAAACTGTCATAATCCAAGAATTAGGAAAAACAAACTATGTACAACATAAAAGTTATAACTTATTAAAATACTGTGAAATATTTAAAACCCGAAGAAAATGATATGGACCAAATTCATTAATGGTGTACACTAATGACCTTTACTATAATAAATACTGCAAAATAAAATCAGTGCTGCTTGTTTTTTTCTACAAATGATATCTTTAACTCTATATATACAATTATACACAATTGTAAATATATGTAATTATATATGTATTTTTTTTCAGTATTGGAGATTGAATCTAAGACCTTCACAGTGAGCTACATCCCCAACCTCTTTTTAATTTTTTTATTAAAAACCAGGTCTTGCTAAGTCACTGAGTTGCCCAGTCTGGCTTGAAATTGCCATTCCTACCCTCAGCTCCCAGAGTGCTGGAGCTGGAGCTGTGTACCACCAGCTGCTGCACCTTGCTGGTTTCCGTATGTCCTGCACCTGTGCAGACAAGGTGCTTCCCTGATTAAAGTAGTTGGTTCGTAACAGTGCACTTAATATAGCTCGAGAAAAAGAGAAGCATTTCCTGTCTGGAAACATACCAAGGAAACATCAAAGAGTATCACATAAGAACTTAAGGTGTGGCTTTCTGAAGATGTACTTGTCTAACACATTGGGGACCAAAAAAGTGAGGAAAAGCAAACTTGTTTGTATCACACCATCTGTGCATCATCAGGCAAGGATTAAAATACCTGTGTCACACTTCCATGTGGTACACGCACCAGCGCCAGCCACACATCAAGTGCTTGAACGAGGTTGGCCTTAATATTTTTAAGGTCTTTCCAGCCTGAATGGGATTATTTAGTAGGAGAGCCTTGTACAGTATTTGGATATTTAACATCCATTGTCATATGCTTACCCTTCATGAGAGGAGTTCTCCATTTTCTAGACTTGCTATATTCATTATGGTCATCATAATTACATGGCTATTCAGTTAGTTAAAATTACAATTTAAAATCCTGTGCCACAGTCACAGTAGCTACATATCAAGTGCCCAACAGTCATATGTGGTAGTGGCTGCCACCATGGACAGGGCAGCTACAGACCACTTCCATCATCACCCCTGGCTCTGCTGTACCATACTGGTCCACACACTGCCTCAGATGTCGTGAACTGTTTAGTGATAGACTAGGCAGGGTTGAATGCAGATTGTTCTGACACTAAGATCCATGCCCTTTACAACTGTTTTTACACATAACAGTCTGAGAGACTTTGGGGCTGAACAGAGGCAGAACTGGATTCTACCAAGGAGAAGAGCTAAGGGCAAGAGAGCAATAGATGACATGGCTTGATAGGTGGCCAGAGGAGCACATGAAAGCTGCTGATTGCTTCCTCTAGTGCCTTTTTAGGTTGACTTCATCACAACTTTGAAGCTCAGTAAAAGTTTACAAAAATAACCCCAAATTGCTCTTGCCACTTCACCCTCTGTCCCTAACTGTGCTTCATGATGCTGGAAAACCAGGGGATAAACCATGTGGCACCATAGGCCTATTAGACTCTCATTTGCACTTGTTTTTCAGGGATATGGTTGTTACAGTTCGTTGTAATTTCTTGAGTAAAGAGCTTTTCTTAAAGGCCATATTTATATAGCACAATAAATAGGTTACACCACGTCCCAAAACCCTGCAAATTATGAAGGCATTTTGTTTTAAACTGTAATTGCTCTTAGTAAAAACCTGTTGTTCTCAGTCTCATGTACTGAAGCAAAAACAGGAACAGTTTGATGCAGTCTTCTTAAAGTCAGACTTCTGGGAAAAGGGCCAGCCAAATAGAAGATTAAAGCGCCTGCTTAGGCACACACAGCAGCTGGGTTCGATCGCCAGTGTGCCATGCTGGCCCCGCCCTCAGGGCACACTGAGACAGCAGTGGAGACTGGGCATGGTGGTGCGCACCTGTACTCCCAGCTCTTGGGAGGCTGAACAGGCGGATCACTAGGAGTCCGACCTATGTAGTGAGACCCTGTAGACCCTGTATTAACATACAAAAAAAAAGCTGGGAAGGTCATTTACCTTTAAATTGGTGAATCTTGCTTTGGTTTTCAAAATTCAAAGCATGAGAATGTTGAAGAAGATAGCCTTGCTCTGAAGTTTGTTGTACATTTAAGTTCTGGAGCGTTGGTTTGCTCATCTTACAAATTTAGGCTACTACTTGTTAGGTGTTTTACTTGTTTAATGTGGTATTTTTTCAAGGAAACCAACACCAAAAAAACCCAAAGCATATTCACATATTACTTCCTGAGCTACAGAAGGTACTCTCCTACACACATGCTTAAATGGTAAAAATAAGTGCTATAGGTTCTTAGGAAAGCAATATGACAAAATTTATTAAACAAATCTCAATTGTAAATAAAAGATAATACAAACTAGGGAGATCTTTCTCAAATAGGAAGGAAATTGAGATGGAGGGAAGGAGGAAAGAGAGGGAAGGGGTAAAAAAAGGAATCCCTATCAGGAATGTAAATGTTATGTGCATTATGTACTGCCAATTTGTACTAATAAAACAATGTTTTTAATTCCAGTATAAAGTTCAAAGTAGGTGAAAGTTAATATGTTATGACCTTAAAAGTCCACTTAGGCTTACTAGCTAGAAGGTGGTACAAAAGAAACTGCAGGAATAATGCTAATTTTCTGATTTTGATCAGGGTGCTGGTTACAAAGGTAATTACTGTGTAAAACTAAGCCATATATCTATGTGAGTTTTATCTTTCTAAAGTGTGTTTGATGTTTGTTTAAATGGTAATATCAGTAAAGACTTAAGTGGGGGCTGGAGATGGAGCTCACTGGTAGAGACCTTGCTTGGCATGCATAAAGCCTTAAGCTTAGCACCCCTCAAACAAATATTTTAAAATACAAGGTATGTATATCGATGGTTATTGCAGCATTGTTCATTGTGGAGAGAAAAAGAAGCAGTTGTGAATGTCCACCGATAAATGATTACATTGGGTTACTACAATGCATTCATTTAGAAGAATAAATCAGAAAGATTTCCAGGATGTATTTTTGAGTGAAGAAAATTAAAGCTGCAGAACAGTGCACATAATATAGTCCAATTGTAGCCTATGCTATA